CCCCCTCCCCTGACTCCCACATCTCCTTCTCTTTCTCCTGCCCTATCCCCCCCTTCCCCACTGTCTCTTCCCTGCATCCCCCTCCTCCCGGTCCATCCCCTCCCCCCCCCCCCATGGTTGTACAGGAAACAGGTGAACCATAGGACCCAGGAGGCATCAAGGTAGCAACCTGGAGAATCTGCTCCATCCTGCTCCCCACTCTGGCCAGGCTGCCTGACTTGCTCTGCCTGGCCTGCGGGATGAAGAGCAGCTCGATGCTCGCAGAAATGGGGGGGGAGTGGCCCCGCTGCACCCCCCAAACTACACCCATGTTTAGGCCCCAAATTATTACCCTGTTCTTTGGGCTGGACTCTTTAAGCAGTCGGTGATATTGGGGCTTTTCACAAGTCTGTGCATTGGCTGCACCAATATGCTCCATGCTGCAGCTCCCAAGGGATTACTCCTGTGTTTTCGCCCCTTATTTTCCAGTGAGACTGCAGTGCGCCTGCCGGTTTCCTGTCCTTTAGCACCCTTCCTCCAGTGAGGTGCATGTCACAGGGAACAGAAGGGACCCGTCTTCGCTTGTCTGGGTTTCTGTAGCTCAGTGCTCAGCTCCTCCACCTTCTCACAGCCCACCTCTAGGCTTGCAGCATCTAACAGACCAGAAAGCGAGCAGTCGGGCTCCGTTCTGTCTTCTCCTTTACACCCATTGCAGGTCACCCTGGAGGCAGGGCTGTTTTCCTGCTCACTAGCCAGGACTGGAGCATGTTGACTCATTGAATGCCACTTGTCGTCCCACGTCTCCTCAGCAAATCTGCCCCTCCACCTTCCTACGATTGAACGAGTCCTTATTTTAAGCTTCTAACTCTAAATCCCACAAGTTCAAGTGATTAAACGTCACAGTAAAACAGACAGAGAAATCATAGAAATATAGGGCTGAAAGGGACCTCGAGAGGTCATTTAATCCATCCTCCTGTGCTGAGGCAGGGTTACATAGACGTAGACTACATAGACCCCAAATGGCGACGTCCCATTCACATGCCTAGGATCCAGATGCTTGCATCAATCCACTTCTCATTCACTGTCCTCCCAGGAATACCGACGAATACTCTCTGATGCACCTGTTCCTAACTGGGGCTCTGGATGTGACCCACGCTCATGCTGGTCCATCAGAATGACCCCAAGTGCCCCCACTCGCATGTGCAGGAATGGAGCTAGATAAAGTGATCCAAGCCTGTCAGATGTTGATCTGCTACTTAAGTTCTTATTTTGCTTGTGTTCATTGTAACTAAAACTCTGTGGTTCTCCCCAAAACTTGAATTTAAGATTCTGGCACACGCAAAGTAAGAAAGAACTGAATAGGGTTAAACCCTGTGGGTCCAGCTGGACCTGTGTGACTTAATAGGCCACGTGAGACTGGATCAGCCTGGGCCCCATTCAAATGCAAAACTAAAATGGCTGCTTTGGCAGCAACAGCTGAGTGTCTTCCTCTCCTTTTAGAAAGGACACCAAGACGCTTTTCTTGAGAAACACCTCCCCGATGCCTGTAGCCTGGCGGCTCAGCGGCCTGGAGAACTTGGGGGATGATTTCTCTGTCTCACAAGACCAGGGCATCATCGGTCCCCGCTCAGAGTACTGCCTGCAGCTGCATTTTAAGGCTACAAAACCTCTCAACATTAAGAAGGTCATCCGACTGGAGGTGAGGCAGACCCTTCCCTCCCCAGCACCTACAAACCCAGCAGCCCTGCCTTCCAATACTTTGGAGAGCATTGGTGAGGCTTGGCACTAAGGTTTGTACTTGGCAGTTACCACCAATGGCAGGTGAGATGGGTGGGACGGTGGTGAGCAGGTGTTGTGAATGACACAGCTTTCTACCTGCAAGGAGCACTTCTCCAGCTCCCCTCCCCACGCCAGCTCTGGCCTGTGGCCTTTCTCCAGGGGACCAGCTTGTAGAAGGGTAAGATCCTGGGGATGAAGTAACCAGTGAGGCACTGCTGGGTAAGGAGGTGGTATGGGCTGGGGAGGTAGCACCTGCAGGCAGCTGGACAAATGGCCATTTTTGTCAATGTTTCTGTTGCTTTTCTTTATTTGAAGCAAAATATTCCAGTGTATCCTGGAGCATGTGAGTCTCCCAAATCCCCAGTGGGCTAGCCCAGCTGGACCGGAGTCTGGTCTCTCCAACAGGGCCGGCCCTATGCAACTCTGCCCCTCAGTCTGGGGCAGCCCCAGTTCCCACCAGTCGTCTGGGGCTAAAGCCTAGATGATAGAGCCGTCCAACAACAAATCCAACCTCCCCTGCCCCCACCGAGGCAGGTTGGTGCAGGTCAAGTCAGTGACTGGGCTGATTCCGGGTTGCTGACATGGTGCTCTCCGTTTGGCATTGGCTAGTCCCACTGGACACATCAGGAGTCACTCTAGGGTTCCTGCACAGCCTCTGCCACTTCCCATTGCAGGGCCCTGCCGGAAACAAGCTTGGTTTTGAAATTTAAATAGAAACAAATCACAGGAAAAGGCACAATGCGGGAGTCCCTTTCCTACCTCCTCCATTGCGGCTGGGCTGATGTCCAGAAAGGCTGTCTCGGCGTGAGCTTAGCTGGGGGTTGTTAGGAACATCTCTGATTGCAAACTATGCTGGTAACCATAAACAGCGTCATTAGTAGTGAGTGTCTCCTGCTGGAAGGGTGGAGAACTAGGCTGAAGTTTCACACAGCAGCAGAATCCTTTTGGGACAGCCCAGGAGGTTAGCAGGGTAGGAAATGCCTTGCAGCTGGATTGCTGCTGATGCTGGAATCTGATGGCAAAGGAGGAGGTGGGTACCATTGGCAGGATGAAGAACTCATGTTATGTTCATCAGCAGAGGTCAGGGGTGCGCTGAGTGACGGCTGTTTCTTGTTGCCTAAGGTTTCAGACATGGAAAACATCCTGGGGATTGTTCAGTACGAAAACATCCAGATCCTTGCCGAGTCCTATGACGTTGCTCTGGACATCAGCTTCCCCAGAGGTCAGTCTTTGTCCCCCACACTCAGGATGGCCTGGCCGGATCAGTAAGAATTAAGGTTGCCCTCATTAGGCACAGGGTCCAGATGTATAACTGTATGAGGCCAGCGTCCAGTAGAACAAATAGTCAGTGACCATGTCGTTATAGACTGTAGCATGATATATACACACCAAGGCGGTGAATTAAGGTCACCTTAATACTGGCATTTCCTAACTTTTGAGTGCTTGACTTCACCATAACCTTCTGTTAAAGTAGCTTTTGTATGCAATTTATTTTATCTGTTGAGTTGGAAACCATCACAGTAAGCCCGTACAAAACCATTTCCAGCTTTCTGACATGTAGGCTATCTAAGCCAGCAAGTGGCAAGTCTGCACTGCTCACAGACTGAGAGGACATATACTTTTAGGCATGTAGCACTGCAAGGAAATGAAAACAACGATGTTTAGCACGAAGTCATGCAGTTCTTCTCCACAGAACAAAAAGGGCAGTGAAGCATCCGGGGTAATGTTGAGAAGACTTTCTCTGGAGGACTTGGACTTTCTGGAGATTCAAATCTTGTGATTTGCAGGGGTGTTTCATGCAAGGCCTGAGTATTCATCACCATCTCTCCTCCCACTTGTGGCTTTCTCTTCAGGTACAGATGGTGGTTTGGATTTTGGGGTCATTAGAGTATTGGATGAAGCTAGGCAAATGGTGTCCCTGAAGAACAAAGGAAAATATGAAATTGGATACAGGTAAAGTACTAACTATTTCAGCGGTGTGATGTATAAGCATTTGATGTCCCCATCAGTCTAGTCTTTCGTTCTGTTATTCCCCTTGATATAACCTCTTCTTGGAATGACTAGATCACAATCAGGGTAAGTAGCAAAGCTCAGAGGTCACCATTTTCAAATATTCAACACACCAACAACTGTATGTTACACAGCGTGACAACTGAAGAAGAAACACAACAAAATGTAAATTATTCCCCAGTGGGCATGGCTGTGATTTATATTTACAGATTTCAGTGGTGAGCGCCCCTATGGCTGAGTGCATGTGCCTGCACTCTCTCTCTCGGGCCTTCTGGCTGCAGCTCTCCCGCTGGGCACTACAGTTCAGTTCCCCCTCTGGGGTGTCTCAGTGGCCAGGCCACTTCCCCCAGTGGCTATTGAGGGGTGGGGGGGACTTGGGCCCACCCACGACTCTGCGTCCCAGCCCAGGGACCCTATAGATCGCAGCCATCTGCTGTGTCCCTTTAACTATGTCACACCGCTGCTCTAATTCCCTGGGCCTTTTCCCCATGGTGCCTTCACCCTTACCTCAGGGCCTTGTCCTAATGGAGTCCCAGCAACCAGTTCAGGGCTCCTCCTTGCTCGCCCCGGATTCTGGCAGCGCTCCCCTGTCTGGGGTTCTGCAGCTCCGT